GAAGCATTTAGCTAATCAGCTAAGGAAGGCCAAGCTTCACGTAGCCTCCAAGGATACACTCAGCCCAACAGGTTGACAAAAACTCCACCCAAAGAAGAACACAAAGCACAGAAACTATGCAGACTTTCAAAGCCATTAAAGAAGAGTTTCAGGGTCAAAGGCCAAGCTACCCTTGTCCCTCCCACCGAGGGTCAGGAAGCGCGATTCTACTCTTGACAGGTTAGACCTGCTCTCAAAATGGGAGGGAGGGAGGGGGGCAAATAAGGATAGGTGAGGGAGGGGAAACTACAACTACTTCAGCTGCTGTTCCTTTCACTACACCGTCTTGGATTTCTGGGCAACAAGAATCCAAGAAACATTCTCTATTTGAAAACCAGGCGTTGGCTTCATTTCTGTCCCATACAATTTTACAGAGCACATTAAAAAAAAAAAGTACAACCATATATGAAATTGTAAGAGTCTCTGTCCTGTTTATAAAAAGTTTGAAGCACATCCAAGTACTCCCTACTTGCAGGGGTCCATGAAATTCATAATCACTTCTTTGCCTTTTTTCTTTTATTTTTCAAAGGGGAACTTTTGAGAACCAGGCACTGTGGCAGGGACAGAATGTAGGTCCTCATCTCCTCCTCCACCTTAATTATTCAGCGACGTGCCCCATTAAGCCGTTAAGCCGGGTAAGCCTTTCACATTCTCTTTTCATAAAACAGGACAAACACAAATACAATCCGAAATGGAGGTAACTCACCATCTGCACACACAAGAAAGCATTAAAAAGTGTGACAAAAATAGTGGTACAGTATTAAAGCCATCAAAAGGAAGAGCAGAGAGAGAGAGAGAGAGAGAGAGAGGAAGCTATTGTAACAAGAGCTTAGGTGATTTTTGGTGTTTTTTTTATGAAAGAAGGAAACATGATCATATATTGGTTTTATGAAGGCACATGTGCAGGGCAATGAAAAAAACTGGTCTGAGCGACAGCCACTGAACAGGTAGCTTCCATCAGGGCTGAACCCGTTTCAATTCTTTTCTATCTCAGCGTCCGGCATCTACCAGGCAAGTAGGCTCCACCATAAAGTGAATACATGAACCTTTTTAGACCAGTTCACTACCTCAAGGGTGAGAGAAGCTAGACCAAGATTTTCTGGTTAAATGTGAGGACTATATAATAAATCAGTTTCTGACTCCCCTACGAAGCAAGAAAGAAGGCCCTGCCACCCTGATTTAAACTTCTAAGATACTTTGGGTGGGGAAGCAAGTGTAGTTTTGTGAGCGAAAGAATCTCAAGCTCAGTTCTGGCACTCAAAAGGCTCCTCGGATAAATGTACACTCAGAAGTTTCCTGTCCATTAATTCTAACTATGCATGTCTGCCGCCCAAGCCTCTTATTTTTAAATGTTAATCCTATAGTTGTAACAACAACAAAACCCCTAACTCGTCCCTGTAAGGTACACACTTCAGCACTGCTTTAATTCATTCATCGTCTAAATTTTAGAAGTTCTCCTGGTTTGTCTCCATTCATACATGCCCGCCAGGAGTGCACATAAGGTGCTTTTTTTAAAGGAGACATTTTGAAAAAGAAGTAGGCCAAGAATATCTTACAAATCCAAGCTGTGTTTTGGATGGGCGTACAGCAAGGGAATATACTTGCTTGAGATGGGATATAACGTAAAACGCATCCAGCTCCATTCTCCTGCCTTCCACTTGCCATTCTTACAGGGAATCTGACAAAACATTTTTTATGAACAAAAGACCTGCTTCAAGTTCTCAAGCAACGAGCAAAGGAGTACCTTTTAGGGCAATGACCTTGCTGGCAGGGTTCATGATCGCACTATCGGCCGAAATGGGTCGGCGAATGGGGTTGCTGGGATCGTTCATGTCGATGATGACCACCTGGGCTTGCTCTCCCACTTTCTCCCGTATGCAGATGAATTTGTCAGACTCCATGGTCAGAGTGCTGAAGCCTATGTTGGCCGGATTAATCCCCAGGTTCTGGAGCTGNCTGGTGTGGGTCGGTGGGCGGGGGGTGGGAGAGAGAAGAGATCAATGTCATTCCACAGTTCGTGTGCCTTCTGTGACAGCGACTGTTGACCAAACATCAGCTATCAATAAGGTGGGCAAAGATTTAATTTTAGAATTAAAGCACTTTCATTTGGCTACTCGGGAAATTCAGAAAGAACTACCTTTTCCATTTCTTTCTCATTCTTACTTTACGGATAATATGCAGAACCTGATGCACACACAAAGATGTCTAGAATAATGAACGGTGGTCAATACTCTGATCTAAGCCTGTTTTCTACGAGGTCATTCAAACTCCAGCTAAGCAGATCTATGGTTTTGGACTCTTAAGAGTGCCAAAATACAAAACCCAGCTGCTGAAGTTGCAAGCACACAGATTATTTTTGAGAAATTGCACTGAACACATAAGCCATGTAATGAACCCAGCTGAAGACCACCGTTGAAGAGGCAGGCCATTGCTAAGTGCCTGAATCCCAGGCAATGGAAGTTGATCAAGGCCACAAATATTGAGAAGATGCTTTACAGAGAATGATACTAGCAGTTATCTTTCTAAAGCCTGATGCCAGCTGACAGATGACTGGGTTCCCCCCCCCCCGTGGTTCTGGTACTTGTGGCCATCAGTCTAGTCTAAGCACAACTGCCAAGTACAACTTCTGTCTCCTGATTCACAGGGTTTGGTCAAGCAAGGCAAAATCCTGTTCAGCGTGCCGTCGTGGAAACAAAAGTGTTTCAATTAAAAAAAAAATTAAATTTCCTCTGTAACAGCAGAATCCACAGCTGCCAAGTACAACTTCTGTGTCCTGGTTCACAGGGTTTGGTCAAGCAAAGCAAAATCCTGTTCGGCGTGCCGTCATGGAAACAAAGGTGTTTCAATTTTTAAAAAATTTAAATTTCCTCTTTAACAGTAGAACCAAATATAAAAGGTAAAATCAAACATTCGCTTTCCCAGAACAGTAACGGACAACACACACAGAATGATCTTCTGAAATGTTTGCTTTGGGGGGAAAAAAATCTGCGCAAGTCAATATGGAAATAGTTCCCTAAAGGTTAGAAGTTCGAACGCCACTGTTCCAGGTTATACTTGTACAAACACAAATCATGTATGCAGTAATTTTTGGTCCTTTTGATTGTGGCCCCTCCCAAAGCTCAACAGAGAAGGGGGCTAAGTTAACACTGACAGTGTTTCCTAAGGTAGGGGTGGTTTCTCAAGCAGAGCCATTTAACTAGCAATTACGAAGCAAGCCACATTTTCCTGTTTCAACTTGATTCTACTTCTCCAGAGTTAACACAGATAAATTTCAGGAAAGCTAACACAGCCTGCACCCAGTTTCTGCCACCGGGCCTGCCAAGGCCAATGGGAATTATTCTAGCTCAGCTTCCCATGCCCGTGATTTTAAGATGCCATGCTGAAGCCATATTGGTCCAGTCTACAATGGAGTCGGATCTGAACTCTGACCATCTGTGAAGATCTCACTTAGTGCAGACCACGCTACGACAATATAAATTTTGTCCACCATACTGCAAATTCAAGGGAGCAGGGGAAAACTGAAGGTGTGGCTTACAAAAAAAAAATTACATTTCCTCTGTAACAGCAAGAAGAGAGACTGAGGATTTCTGCATCCATAGCTGCAGAGCCAGAGGTTGGGTGTTCGATTCCCCCACTGTGCCTCCTGTGTATCCTTGGGCAAGCTGCACCACCCCAGGGCACTCCCCAGAAAAAGGGAAGGGTAAACCACTTCTGAGTACTATTTGTCTAGAGAACACCCCGAAAACAGTTGCAATAAGACAGAACTGAGTTGATGGCATATAATAATGATGATGACGATGATGATTAAGGGTGTTCGATTCCCCCACTGTGCCTCCTGTGTATCCTTGGGCAAGCTGCACCACCCCAGGGCACTCCCCAGAAAAAGGGAAGGGTAAACCACTTCTGAGTACTATTTGTCTAGAGAACACCCCGAAAACAGTTGCAATAAGACAGAACTGAGTTGATGGCATATAATAATGATGATGACGATGATGATTAACTCTGTTTTTGAGTTGATGGCATATAATAATGATGATGATGATGATTAGCTCTGTTTTAGGCACAATGCTGCTTGGGTTCAGTACTTAAGTGTGTCAGGTAAGAAATTAGGCCCTGCAGCTGTTTTTGACCTTGTCCCCTCAATTTCCAGCCCAAAGGGCCAATGGCTACAAGCTATGACAGAGGCTGGGAGTTCAATTCCCCTCTAGACCTCTTAACATGGGCTGGAACTGATGATCCGTAAGATCTCTTCCAGCTCTGCAGTTCTGAGATTATTATTACTATATTATTAAGTAAGTAAAGATGCTCTGCAGTTCTCAGATTATTATTATTGTATTATTAAGTAAGTAAAGACTGGAAGGGCCACAGCTCCCCAACTTGCAGGCCTTGGAAGGAGGAGGAGCAAGGTATGTATGTAAGAATGATGGCCATGCTTAACCCTCAAATATGTAAGGGCCACAGCTCCCCAACTTGCAGGCCTATGTTTTTTTTTCCAGCCATGTTCTGCAGAAATTTTTCCTCTGCCAACTTATTCCTCCTGATGACTGCATACACTTTCATTTCCACATCTGGGCAAAAGGGGAGTAACCTTCCAAGGAAGGAGTGATTCATGTCAAACTGAACAGATGCAAGGGCCCAGACGATTTTGTAAGTTTTTTGCAAGAAGCAAGCAGGGTCTTTCTCCTTTCTAAGAAATAGAACTTTTTTGTTCTGTCTTCAAGCCTTAAAGGACAGAAGCCTTCAAATCTGCTTCTGCGAAAGACAAGGAACACCAGAGGGCGTGAACCCATTGTGCGCCGTGCTTCATTATCAACAGCATTTCATGTTCCAAATTGACAGCCTCCACCTTCCAAACCCCGTTGTGCCCTTCCTTGTATGTCTCTGATAAAGAAAGGGTGTGTCGCGCAGTTTAACTTCCTTAACTGCTGAAAAATCATGCTGTGCAGCTACAATAGAAGCATGCAAGACTGCACACCACCCAAAAGAATCTTCCGAAGCCCTCCTGAAGTTAAATTATAAGCTCCTATCTGGTAGTCTGCTTTACTGGTGGATCAGCTTAAAGCCTCAGTTTCACCTGCCATTCCCCAAGTTTTCCATTGGCTAAGACAGGAATCAGTACCGACCTACAGCTGTACAAACAAAAGACAACCCAGATAAGATTTGCAAATTTTTTTTAAACAAAGTACCACTGTTCTCCTGTCATATTAGGGTTGGGTCTCAATCATGTAAACCCTTTCCTGGGGAAAAAATGGGGAGGGCAATGTACCTCACAGAACTCAAAGAGTCCTCATTCAGAGACAACCATCCATTTCTGTAAATGATGGAAGCTTTCTCCTACAACACCAGGGAGATAACATAATGAAACAGTACATGGCATATAGTGGACTCGACACCAGGGAGATAACATAATGAAACAGTATATAGTATAGTGGACTCATGGGTTACTTTCCCCACATCAAGCTGAATGTGCCTAAGACTCTCAATGGGTTGGAACACCCTCATAGAAACAAGCTTTAGTCATGCATGGGAGGGGGGTGTGCCATAAATGATTGTAGTAACTATTCCTCTATTCAGAAGTGCAGAGAAATTTCTGATTATTTTCTGGCAGTACTACTAGCTGTTTTAACAAAGACAAAATTGCATCTGTTTATTGGGGGAGGATGATTCAAGAACATTCATAGCCTCCAGGGTGGAAGAACTATTTTATACAGAACAGAGGCTCTTGTAAGCTGGGCAGATGGTCTTCGGCAAAGCCAAACCGAGCCCCGTTTGATCTGGCTCATAAGGATGACTGACAACTTTTTCCAAGAGTATCAAATGCTTCGCATATGAGCTTTTTAAAATCAGAACACTTCTAGTGCGGGGAACTACAGCTCTGAAATAGGTTGCCCAAGACAGGGCAGACACCGAAAATCATGTAAGAAAGTCATTACTAACATTTGCAGCACAAGCACCCCGAAAATCATGTAAGAAAGTCATTACTAATATTTGCACCACAAGCACCTACTGTAGTTCTATATTGACTGTGTTTGCTGACGTTTTGGATCTGTCAGACTGATGAAGGTCATAATGACTGCATTTACACTTTGCCTTCTCTGCAAGAAGTCGAGCACAGCAATACAGCTAATCTTCCTCCAGTTTATCCTCAGAACTGTGCGAGGTGAACAAGACCAAAAGAGAATGCAATCATTCCAAGGACATGCAGTGACCTTCATAGCTAAAGAAGAGCTTTATTACCCTTTTGGGCTTTGTCCCCTACCTATACAATTACTACACCCTATTCTGCATTCAAACCCACCCATCTTAACCCCCAAATGAGACTTCTCTAACACAGAAGAATTCTGCTTCCTCGTTTCGGATCAAACCACATCCACATGCTGACAACTACGTGGCTTACAATTTTACCTTAACTATGCGGGAGGCAGGCGCATCCCTATGAAAAGGACCCGTCACATCAGGCTGAGCTGCCCAGGTAAGGACCGACGGAAACACATTTCCCTCAACGTTCTGACAGGCAAGGATCCTCAGCCTCCCCCAAAGCATGCACCAGCATACTTCAAATAGCACATTGTTGCCAATGCTAATTCACAACACAAGCAAAAGCAACTCATCCACACATTGGTTTTGGCTGAGTTTGAATTTCACCTCCCCACAGGAGCCTTCCACCTGTACCGTCCAGCTCTTACTTAAAGCCACACCTTTGGAAGTAACCATTCACAAAGTATTAGTAATGCACCACTCCTTTTACTATAAGTAACGCCACCCAACCTTAAATGGTGGAACAATCAGCACTAACTTAACCGTCTTTAGCTTCCTTATAGCGTTGCTCACAGGCAGAGACCCGTTTCAACATTCAAACCACTACTATCCTTTTCATACCAGTTAGCTCAATATTTGCAAACAGGAAACATTCCTAGTATTTATTACAACACCTGCAAGGAATTATTTTCCT